TGAACACGGCGATGGTTTCCAGTAGTTTTTCAACATTCAAAAGACTCATACTGTGTGGACTGGATCAAATTGTTCTGGATGGAGAAAAGGTCTGTGATCATTGACTGTCTGCGAACCAAAAGACTGTGTGGTAGCCCTAGGTAACACTTCATTGGTTGTGTGCTTACAGTACACCACAATTATTTAACATGGATGTCCTGCTTTTTTTCTGTATTACTTCCATGTCTCTTACAATTTCAGCTGATGGCCGCATGGACTCACCAGGCTACTGTGCACCTACACTACATTGGAGAATGATTCCAGAGACATCATCTCCGTAGTGAACATTGACAGGAGGGAGACCCAGGGGAAACTCTGTCATCGTGGAGAAAGAGAGGTGTTCATTAGGACCATGGATCAGTTGATTACGGAGATCCCGCTAAAAGAAATCCGCACATGTTCAGATTTCTGCTCTAATGAGTAAGTTTGGTTATGACCATACACATCTTGAACGTTTATTTTTGCTAGATTAAATCTAGTTTTAGAAATATATACAGCACCAGTCAAAAGTTTGGACATACCTACTCATTCAAGGGTTTCCCTTTATTTTTTACTATTTTCTACATTGTAGAATAATAGTGAAGACATCAAAACTATGAAATAACATATATGGAATCATGTAGTAACCAAAAAAAGTGTTAAACAAATCAAAATATATGTTATATTTGAGATTCTTCAAATAGCCACCCTTTGCCTTGATGACAGCTTTGCAACACACATCAGGCTCTCACAGACATCGTCCCCAACACAAAGTGGCTGAAGGATCTTCATAAATACCTGAACTTCAGGTGGGTTAAATATTTTCTCAAAAATCCTTCCCCCTATTTAGCAATTGGTTACAGATAATGGGCCATTATGCATCACTGCAGTACTGTCCTCTGGGTCCACCAGAAAACGTAAAGAAATATTGGTCTATTGGTCACAGAGGAGATGGTTGGGAATCCCTGCATTAGGGTGATGTTTGACATACACACAGCCAAAGGAGAATTACAATTTAACTTGTCTTTTTTTTTATCAACAGCTGACCTTGAGTCCTAGCAGAACCATATTCTGATGTGCGCCAGCAGTCGTTTCTTCCTTTCCACCACCAGTCTATGAGGCCAGAACACTGCTGGCAGCACTAGATTACAACTTCCACAAGGACAGACCAGCCAGGCAGAACGCAGATGGAACCAAGATGTAAGTCCCCACTCTATTTGAAGTCGCTGTATGTAATAACACAAAAACAAATCTGGGCTAGTGTAAAAAAAATAATACATAAAAAAAAATAAAAAATACTGCAAAGTTTCCTAAGAGCTAGTCGCAAGGCAGCAAGGCACCATCTTCTTCTTCTTCTTCTTCTTCTTCTTTATTCATGCTGCTGTGGTAGTGTCACATTGTCTTTAGCCATACCATAGCTGCTGTGGTAGTGGTCACATTGTCTTTAGCCATACCATAGCTGCTGTGGTGGTGGTCACATTGTCTTTAGCTGCTGCTATGGATATGTATTTAACTTGAGAGCTCCGCCCTCTTTGCCAGGTCTCCCTTGAATTTATTTTTATTGTTGACCTGGTACAATAAGCTAAAGGTTGTATGCACTCTCACTAGATAGAATTTTGTGGTTCAGTGGCAGATTTTCGAAAGAAAATTGACATATATATATATATCATTCCGCAATTCTCAATCACATAAGATACACAGCTAACCCACATTGAATTTCATTCATAAATGTGGGAACTAATTATAGTTAATATTCTAATTCTCTAGGTCCTCCAGTCCCACACCTGAAGCCTCTTGTCCCCAGCACGAAAGACGAGGAAAAAGTGTTGGCTTAAGGTACAACTTCCTATTGAGGAAGTCCTCTGTAGCTCAGCTGGTAGAGCACGGCGCTTGTAACGCCAAGGTAGTGGGTTCGATCCCCGGGACCACCCATACACAAAAAAATGTATGCACGCATGACTGTAAGTCGCTTTGGATAAAAGCGTCTGCTAAATTGCATATTATTATTATTATTATAAATGGCATATTATAACGCAATGTCACATTTAGAGTTACTGACATGAATAGAAGCATATACAATCAATCAAATGTATTTGATAAAATCCCTTTTCACATCAGCAGTTGTCAAAGTGCTTTATACATGTACCCAGCCTAAAACCCCAAAGAGCAATCAATGCAGATGTAGACGCAAAGTGGCTAGGAAAAACTCCCTAGAAAGGCAGGAACCTAGGAAGAAGAGAGAGGAGCCAAGCTCTGAGACGTGGCCACTCTTCTGGCTGTGCCGGTGGAGATCATAAAAGAGTACAGCCATTTAGGCCAGATCATTCGTCAAGAGGTTTAAAAGTTCATATATGACTGCCTTGTTGATAGTGTTGTTAGGAAGGCAGAGCAGCGCTTTGTTATGGACAGCCTTCTCCCCATCTGAGCTACTGTTGTATCAATATGTTTTGACCATGACAGTTTACAATCCAGGATTACTCCAAGCAGTTTAGTCCCCTCAACTTGCTCAGGTAATTCAGAATGATATTACATACACATACGCTCATTCACACCAACAGATATGCGCACACACAAACATGTTGTTGAGCTGTATACTTACTGTCACTTTGTGCATCTCTCTTTCAGATCTGCCATGCACTACACCACTGCCCGATAACCTCACCCACTGGGCCTATCAAGACTGACAAAGCAGAGATGGGTGGCTGACAAGGAAAAATAAAACATTCACTCTCTCTGTGTGTCACACACATTAGCCCCAATGTTGTTTATTTTATGCATGCTCCATTTTATTTTAGGATTGGAGATATCTAGGCCTACATATCCATTATACATATCTACATAACTATTACTTTAAATATCTATCAAATGTGATAATTTTGTAATACAGTATTGCTTAATGTGTACAGTTTGAGGAAATTCTTTTTTTCTGAGTTTAAAAACATGCCCCCATCAAACACACATTAGACCCAATGTAAATAAATGGTAATAACTTGTTTATTTTGTGTTCTCCATTTTATTTTAGGAAATAAAGTGTGAAATAAAGTACATTCACAGATAAAGCAACGTCTTTGGTTTATTGGATATTTCTCTGATTAAAATGAGTGACGAAAAGGAAGTCGGCAGACCTGCAACCCTCTGGGCGTGTGTGGAGGTTGTGTCATCTGGAGTTGAAACGGGGGCCCCAACAGCCCTCGCATTTGTACAGGGTTCCCAGGAGTGGCAGGCGAATATGTTTGTTGTCCTGCAAAAATATTGTTTACGTACCAAGGCCATCCCCTGGTTACCCATCCACATCGCTCCGGCCATACTAACGTTTCTTCTCCACGATGGATTTATGTAGCGATCGATAGAGCAGAGGAATTAAATTCAGGCAACCAAGGCCGAGGAGAAAGATGAGCTGGAGGGAGCGCCAGACCTCAGCTTTTTATGAAGCAGAGATGGGTGGCTGACAAGGAAAAAAATAAAACACAACATGCACACACAGTATGTAAATAAGTTGTAATTCCTTGTTTATTTTATGTTTGCTTTTAGGATTGGAGATATCTCGGCCTACAACTCTAGAGTGCACTTAAAAAAAACATTACCTGACAATTCTATAATGAATACACATTAGAATAATAATCCATAATAGAGTGACCAATAGTTATTGCATTGGGATTGTTTTGAGTTTTAATTAGTCAAGAAGTAGTGTCCCAGGGTTGGGATTTTAACCGTGTCTCAAAAGCAGCAGAAAAGGTAAAATAAGGTCACAAAAATATCCGTTACGGCTATACACAAGGAGCTGGACGAAAGCAACACTTAAGTGTGTATTTACATTTTTAGACATTTAGCAGGCGCTCTTATCCAGAGCGACTTACAGTTAAGTGAGTGCATACATTTTCATACTGGCTCCCCGTGGGAAACGAACCCACAACCCTGGCGTTGCAAACGCCATGCTCTACCAACTGAGCGACAGAGAGCCTGTCATACAACATGACTGATTTGACTCAACAGTTCAATTAAAGCAAATGTGGAGGTTTTTTTCTTCATACTTTGATGTGATATGAAAGTAGAGGGCTTTATGTTTCTAGGACCAATTGAGAGTATTTGTCTTCATAACAGAACATGTAAGGTCCTTGGACTATAAGGAGTAACGTTAGTCTCATTTAGTCCATTATTGGGCTAGGAGGAGAGGGAACTTTGGCCTTCAGCAAGAACCATTTTAATCCAACTCCACATTTGCTTTAATTGAACTAGCTGAGTCAATACAGGAAAAGAGGGTAGTGCAAGCACAACTCCAGAGAAAAGCTGGAATTGCATCACATTTCCAGACTAATCTCAATTAATCAGTCATGTTGTATGACAGGCTCTCTGTCGCTCAGTTGGTAGAGCATGGCGTTTGCAACGCCAGGGTTGTGGGTTTGATTCCCACGGGGGGCCAGTATGAAAATGTACGCACTCACTAACTGTAAGTCGCTCTGGATATGAGCGTCTGATAAATGACACGAAAAAAAAGGATATGGAATTTACAGTTTTTCAGCAATTAGTGGGATGGGCCTCTTCCAATTGGGAGCTTGAGGAATAGAACCCTGACATGTATACTTTGTCTCAATCACAAGAGGTTTGCAAGCATTTTTATTTAACTAACAGCAACATACATGTTTGACTCACAACACATTGGTACACTCACCTCGAACACGCTTAAAAATCTGACCAATGCATAGTGTTTATATGGCATCAGCAATCAGTTGTAAATCTGATTTGGGCGTGGCTTATGATTATTTCCTATCTAGATGTTCAAAATATTACTGTATTGCATATGGTTCTATAGCATATTGTAACATTTTTTAAGTGGGTTATGTAAGGACCTTAATTTCAATATTCTTCTTTGCACAACACTAGTGTCTACTGTAGGCAATATTTTATTTCACCCGAATTCACTGGGTTTTGGCAACGCTTTTCATTGCCACTTCGTTTGTCCCTGGATACGTTCCGTCGTGAGTCTGAAAATAAATGGCGATCTACTAGTGAGCCACGTTGGTATTTTGATAACATATTTATAATATAGATATTCCCTTTTACACCGAAAATGAATAAAATAATGTCGGGTCGACACAGCAACAAATTGCCAACCAATCTGCCGCAATTGCAGAACCTGATCAAGAGAGATCCACAGTCGTACACGGAAGAAGTGAGTGTATAAAACTGAACTAGCTAACGCATGCCAACGAACGTTAGCTAGTTTGACTAGTAAACAAACTACTTGGCTAACTTTCTAGTTATCTGCTTTACATTTAACTGACATTAGAAAGCAAGCTATGTTTTAGGGTCAATTAATGATGTCATGTATCATATAACTATATTGCTAACGTTAATTAGATAGATTACTATATTTGATTGCATTACTAGATAGCTAACGTTAGCAAGCTAGCCAGCTATCTAAACGAGCTAACTAGTTACGTCTTAGCCCAATATTAGACACATTTTATTCATGATCAAATGTATTAATAAACCGGGTCTAATGGCAGTCCATAGCGACAGCTTGCGAGATATTGCACTACCCGTTGCTGTACCTCTTTTAGCAGCACGTGTTCCGCATTGCACCGTATGTTCTCCGTAGACTGTTTTAATGTAGCCTAGGCAGCAGACAGTGGCTCTAGATCTGCACAATCTTCTTCGATTGATGTGCATTCCTGGTAATACACTCGTGTCCCCCATTGACCGGCTCGTACATAAAGCATCCACCATTCAGGCTGCAAAAGCATCATTTTCCTCCTTTAACTTTAATGGCGAGCCGCCGTGGGAGAAAAAAAAAACTGGAAAAATGTGTATTGTCTTATTAATAAAACACCATTTTCCACCACCATTTTCGGGAAAACTTAAGTTGCATACCCTTGGCTGAATGCGGCAATAGTGTGCAGCTATTGATTAGTAGTAATACATCAGACTGTAATACCACGCAGGTTTAAGGAAGAAATCAGTGGACAACAGGTGTAGTAAGTTAATACGAAGTTTAGTCAACATTCTTCTGATTTATTAACATTTAAGTCATTTAGCAGACGCTCTTATCCAGAGCCACTTACACATTTATAAAGGGACTGTTCAGAATTTTGGACCCTATATATAGTAGAGACGCTTATCCAGTCCACGCTCGGAATCAGGAGAGGCTAGCTATGTCAATTCCCGCTGACTTGATTACATATTTTTCACTATGATCGTCTTAATTTCTAATCTACAGTTCCTGCAACAATATCGACACTACCAGTCCAATGTCCAGATCTTCAAACTCCAGCCTGACAAGCCCAACAAGGAGCTGGCAGACCTGGTCATGTTCCTTGCTCAGGTACGATCATCACTCTCAAATCTAGTCCTAGAAATAGTATGCCAAATTCATGATATTAATAATAATTTGGATATTGTATTGTTTTATTTAAGTAATCAGAAACGTAATTGTAAATGTCATGTGAGTACCCTAGTTGGGGTCGAAGCTATCTCAAATCAGGAAATGTCTGTAGGCCTGCTGTATTTGTGGATCTTATTGGAAACCATGAACTGTCAATTATTTATAGATCGCCAACTGTAGACACAAGTATACTGCTGATGTTAATCCTCGTAGGAAGCTATCAAGCTAAATCCATCATTGTGATGTTCCAGGTTGGACACTGCTATCTGCAGCAACTTGCCTCCTTCCCTCAGGAGTTGACCGAGCTCCTTATGAATCATCACACAGTCCTCGAGCCTGATCTACGAATGGTAAGAGAACATATCATCAACAGGTATTTTCTCACCCTTGTCAGCCGTTACAAATACGTGGATTTAATGTGTTTTCCCCCCCCCCCCCCCCCCCCTCATGTTTCTCCCTCGCTCAGACATTCTGCAAAGCCCTGATTCTGCTGAGGAACAAAGATCTGATCAACCCCACAGGTCTTCTGGAGCTGTTCTTTGAGCTACTGCGCTGTCACGACAAGCTCCTCAGGAAGGTGAGCCCGGAGTGTCTTGTCTGTCTGCACCCCCAGGGTATTGTTATTCCATCTCTATGGTCAGTCTGCACTGTCGGTCACGGTCTGCATCTCGCTTAAGTCTCCTGTTCATCTCTTTCCCCCAGACACTGTACTCGCACATCGTGCATGACATAAAAAACATCAACTCCAAACACAAGAACAACAAAGTCAACACCACATTACAGAACTTCATGTACACCATGCTGAGAGACAGCAATCCTCTAGCAGCCAAGATCTCGCTGGATGTCATGATTGAGTTGTACAAGAGGAACATCTGGTAAGTAACATGCCTTGGCTCTGTGCTAAGTATCTTCAAAAAACACGTCACATGATATATATATTTTTATTTCCTTGTTTTCCCATCACAGGAATGACGCCAAAACTGTTAACGTCATCACGACAGCATGTTTCTCCAAAGTCACAAAGATCCTTGTGGCAGGCATGAAGTTCTTCCTGGGCAAAGATGAAGATGAGAAGCGGGAAAGTGATTCAGAATCTGAGGCATGTATAGAGGGGAGGGGGGGGGTGAGCATTATGATTGGAGGAGAGACTTCCTTGCTCTGTCAGGTCTAAGCAAATCTCTTATCTCCAGGAGGAGGGTCCGTCGGCTAGAGACCTGATGGTGAGGTACTCTACAGGGAAGAAGACAACCAAGAACAAGAAGAAGATGGAGAAGGCCATGAAGGTCCTTAAGGTACGCTGACAGTCCTGCGCTAATTCATTCCTGTGCTTTGTCTTTTACCTAAGATAGACTTTTTAAGTGGCAATTGTCTCGTTTTTGTTGGTTGGTTAGTTAATGAATCTAACCTGATGATTCACAGAAACATAAGAAGAAGAAGAAGGTAGAGGTTTTCAATTTCTCTGCCATCCACTTGATTCATGATCCTCAAGGTATGTATGGTCACCCTCAAAAGCACACACTTATACACTAAACTACATCTGACCTCTTTATGTCGCTTTATTCTGGTTTTCCTAAGAAATATATATTTTTTTTTTGCACAGATTTTTCAGAGAAGCTGCTAAAGCAGTTGGAGGACTCTAAGGAGCGTTTTGAGGTGAAGATCATGATGATGGAACTAATATCCCGACTGGTTGGGATTCATGAGGTAAGAAAATGGCACTGTTAGATATGAACAGTGCAATTATTCTACAATGTAAAAAAAAAAAAAGACATTCACGTTGTTATTTCTGTTCTTCCCACAGCTCTTTCTCTTTAACTACTATCCCTTTGTACAGCGGTTTATTCAGCCCCATCAAAGAGGTAAGCTGTAAACGAGGGCTCCACTTACATTTACATTTTAGTCATTTAGCAGACACTCTTATCCAGAGCAACTTACAGTTAGTGAGTGCATCAATTGTAATTAAAACCTACAAATCAAGTGTTATTTGTCACATGCGCCAAATACAACATGCGCTTACTTACAAGCCCTTAACCAACAATGTGGTTTTTAAGAAAATAGAGTTAAGAAAATATTTACTAAATAAAATAAAGTAATAAAATAAAGTAACACAATAAAATAACAATAATGAGGCTATATACAGGGGGTACCGGTACAGGTTAGTCGAGGTAATTTGTACATATAGGTAGGGGTAAAGTGACTATGCATAGATAATAGACAGCGAGTAGCAGCAGTGTAAAAACAAAGGGGGGGTCAATGCAAATAGTCCAGGTGGCCATTTTATTAATTGTTCAATTAGGGCTTTGTGATGGCCACTCCAATACCTTGACTTTGTTGTCCTTAAGCCATTTTGCCACAACTTTGGAAGTATGCTTGGGGTCATTGTCCATTTGGAAGACCCATTTGCGACCAAGCTTTAACTTCCTGACTGATGTCATGAGATGTTGCTTCAATATATCCACATAACTTTCCTTCCTCATGATGCCATCTATTTTGTGAAGTGCACCAGTCCCTCCTGCAGCAAAGCACCCCCACAGCATGATGCTGCCACCCCCATGCTTCACCGTTGGGATGGTGTTCTTCGGCTTGCAAGCAACCCCCTTTTTCCTCCAAACATAACAATGGTCATTATGGCCAAACAGTTCTATTTTTGTTTCATCAGACCAGCGGACATTTCTCCAAAAAGTACGATCTTTGTCCCCATGTGCAGTTGTAAACCGTAGTCTGGCTTTTTTATGGCGGTTTTGGAGCAGTGGCTTCTTCCTTGCTGAGCGGCCTTTCAGGTTACATTTACATTTTAGTCATTTAGCAGACGCTCTTATCCAGAGCGACTTACAGTTAGTTAGTGCATACATTTTTATTTAATTTTTCATACTGGCCCCCCGTGTGGGGGCTGAGCTATATCCCTGCAGGCCATTCCCTCCCCTACCCTGGACGACGTTGGGCCAATTTTTGCGCCGCCCCATGGGTCTCCCGGTCGCGGCCAGCTACGACAGAGCCTGGATTCGAACCAGCCTTAGACCACTGCGCCACTCGGGAGTTATGTCGATATAAATACTTTTGTACCTGTTTCCTCCAGCATCTTCACAAGGTCCTTTGCTGTTGTTCTGGGATTGATTTGGACTTTTCGCACCAAAGTACGTTCATCTCTAGGAGACAGAACGCGTCTCCTTCCTGAGCGGTATGACGGCTGCGTGGTCCCATGGTGTTTATACTTGCGTACTATTGTTTGTACAGATGAACGTGGTACCTTCAGGCGTTTAGAAATTGCTCCCAAGGATGAACCAGACTTGTGGAGGTCTACAATTTTTTTTCTAAGGTCTTGGCTGATTTCTTTTGATTTTCCCATGATGTCAAGCAAAGAGGCACTGAGTTTGAAGGGAGTGGTTGAAAAACTATTTTTAATGACAACAACCTACATACACCAAAGTGTATGTAAACTTCCGACTTCAACTGTAGGTCCTGGATGTCAGGAAGCTTGGCCCTAGTGATGTACTGGGCCGTACGCACTACCCTCTGTAGCGCCTTACGGTCAGACCAGCCTTTCAAAGCACTTCATGGCTACCGAACGGGAGTGCTACGGGGCGGTAGTCATTTATGCAGGTTACCTTCGCTTTCTTGGGCACAGGGACTATGCGGTCTGTTTGAAACATGTAGGTATTACAGACTCAGTCAGGAAGAGGTTGAAAATGTCAGTGAAGTCTGTACAGCGGTTTATTTATCCCCATCAAAGAGGTATGTTCTAAGAAAGGGCTCCGCTTGTAATTAAAAACAAACATGCAATTAGTCACGTTGCGTTTTAATACATTTACATTTAAGTCATTTAGCAGACGCTCTTATCCAGAGCGACTTACAGTTAGTGAGTGCATACATTTTCATACTGGCCCCCCCTGTGGGAAACGAACCCACAACCCTGGAGTTGCAAGCGCCATGCTCTACCAACTGAGCTACACGGGGCCCAGAACTTGAGTTGCAAAAAAAATATTTTATGCCTTGTGTTTCTTCTTTCTTTCTTCTCCAGAGGTGACCAAGATCCTCCTGTGTGCTGCCCAGTCCTCCCATCATCTAGTTCCACCTGAGATCATCGAGCCTGTCATCATGACCATAGCCAATAACTTTGTGACAGACAGAAACTCAGGAGAGGTGATGTGTGTTGGGTAAGGGAGGATCCCTCTGTAACCTGGTTGGATGGCCATTGTAAAGTCACTCACCTAGGATCCCTCTGTAACCCGGTTGGATGGCCATTGTAAAGTCACTCACCTAGGATCCCTCTGTAACCCGGTTGGATGGCCATTGTAAAGTCACTCACCTAGGATCCCTCTGTAACCCGGTTGGATGGCCATTGTAAAGTCACTCACCTTCTGCATGTGATTGTTACCATGGGATATTGTGTGTATATAATACTGTTCTATACAGTTGAGATTTGTACAGCATCAATTATTGGTAGTAACACGGTTCCATAGAGTAACAGAGTTGTGGGACTTTCTTTGTACAGCATCAATGCCATCAAGGAGGTGGCAGCTCGCTGTCCCCTAGCCATCACAGAAGAGCTCCTCCAGGACTTGGCTCAGTACAAGATGCACAAAGACAAGAGTAAGTAGTCTGTCCTTACTGTAGTAGGTTAACATGTTTTGTTTTGAATCTTTTCTCTTTAAACCAATGTGCTACAAGAGATTATTCATCACGTGTCATAAAAAAAAAAACGATTCAAAGGGTTTCAATGACGGTTATTTAAATGATGTCATTGCCTTTTTTTTTTTTTTTAGATGTGATGATGTCTGCCAGAGGACTCATTCAGCTCTTCAGAAGCCTGGATCCAAAGATGCTACATAAGAGAGACAGGGTATGTTGCTGAGACCAATGTAATATACATTTTTAAAATGATCTCAACATCGTAATGTTTTTCCTCCCTCGTTCTAAGGCCCATATGCTAGGTGGTTCCTCCTCTCAGGGCTGAGGTGCTGTGAAATGTCCTGTAGGCCTGTGCAAACTGCTAACTTAACCATTTGGTGTTGTTTACTAGGGGCGACCCACAGAGTTGTCTACAGAGGCTAAGATCCAGGACTATGGCGAGATGGGGGCCAAAGACTACATCCCTGGAGCAGAGGTTCTGGAGGTGGAGGAGAAGGAGAAGGAGGGAGGAGAAGAAGGGGATGGCGGTAAGGGATTGGATCGTGTATAGTCATTATTATAGAACTGGAAACTTCTACTTGTTGGGTTTTTTGCTGCAAGGACTCTCATTTGGATTTATATCAAGGACGGTATGTCCGACATGCAATAGATGATGTTCTGTGTGAAAATAGTTAAGACGGGTTTAAATATTGATTATTTGATCATTTCTTCTTCCGGCGTTTCCTCTTCATCTCCAGATGGCTGGGAGAGTGCCAGCAGTGTAAGTGATGATGAGGACGGAGAATGGATCGATGTTCACCACTCCTCTGATGAAGACACCACAGAAATGGTAGGGTTCTGCATCAGCCCCATGTCTGTTAGGTGTTCTGGGTTGGTGACCTAGATATTGAAAAGCTGGGCTGGGCTCGCGTTCAATAGAGCACACCGTAGCAAAACACTTTGAATCAGAAAACTAAAATGAGTGTTTCTTATTGGACAAGTTCAGGTTGTCCCTCCCTGTTTGTCTGTTTTCTGCCATTTGGTGCTGAATGAACACTACCCTGGTGATTATCAAATCAAACTTTATTTGTCACATGCGCTGAATACAACAGGTGTAGACCTTACCGTGAAATGCTTACTTACAAACCCTTAACCAACAATGCAGTTCAAGAAATAGAGTTCAGAAAATATTTACTGAATAAAATAAAGTACAAAAAAATACAAATATCGAAAAGTGACACAATAAAATTACATAACAATAACGAGGCTATATACAGGGGGTACCGGTACCGAGTCAATGTGCGGTGGTACAGGTTAGTCGAGGTAGTTTGTAAAGTGACTATGCATAGATAATAAACAGCGAGTAGCAGCATTGTAAAAACAAATGGATGGGGGGGTCAATGTAAATAGTCCGGGTGGCCATTTGATTCATTGTTCAGCAGTCTTATGATTAGTGTTCTGATTGGTGGATAAGGTGTTCTTATTGGTGAGCAACGTCTTCTCATTGGCCATTTGTATGTGTCTCGCCCAGGCTGAGAAGCTGAAGAGCATGGATCCAGAGGAGAGGAAAGCCAAGGCGGCAGCGGTCAGCTCCAGTCGACTCCTCACTCAGGACGACTTCAAGAAGATCCGTCTGGCTCAGATGGCTAAAGAGGTCAACGCTGCCCCGGGCAAGGGACAGAAGAGGAAGATGGTGGACGATGATGAGGGTGAAAGGTCAGTCTTGTTGTTGTTATAATTTTACCTCCGCTCCTATGATCAATATAATTCAAAATGGGGTCGACTTTTTGTTATAATGATGATTGTGGATCCACGTTTTCCCTAATGGGAATATCTTATTTAAAACGCATTTATGCTGCGTTTAGACGAAGGGACGCAAAAAAAAAAAACTTCATACCAGTCGGTATAGCGAGACAAGAAGGCAAGAGAGGGTGACGGCAAAAGCAATCCAGCACGACGGCATGCGTTGCTATGGTGATATCAGTAAACAAACCAGTGCAAATCAACACCCGATAGAAAACGAAGCTACAGCAAAAGTTGAAATATTTGAACTCTGGCGGCAGGTCCCGTCTATCGCGGCGGCTGGGGCTGACCCCATTTAGTCGACTGGTCGATAGGCTGTTGGTCGACCGAGATGTCTGTAGTCGAGCAGTAGCAAAAAAAAGACAGCTGTCTGATTGGAATGTTCCGGATTGACTTGAATGAACTTATTTTGAACTTATTCTCTGCAGCAGAGGTAAATCTGGGTCTTCCTTTCCTGTGGGCGGTACTCATGAGAGCCAGTTTCATCATAGCGCTTGATGGTTTTTGCGACTGCACTTGAAGAAGCTTTCAAAGTTCTTGGAATGTGGTCCTCTGTAGCTCAGCTGGTAGAGCACGGCGCTTGTAACGCTAAGGTAGTGGGTTCGATCCCCGGGACCACCCATACACAAAAAAAGAATGTATGCACGCATGACTGTAAGTCGCTTTGGATAAAAGCGTCTGCTAAATGGCATATTTTTTTTTTTTTATTTTCTCGGATTGACTGACCTTCATGTCTTAAAGTAACAATGGACTGTCGTTTCTCTTTGCTTATTTGAGCTGTTCTTGCCATAATATGGACTTGGTCTTTTACCAAATAGGGCTATCTTCTCTATACCTCCCCCCTACCTTGTCACAACAACTGATTGGCTCAAACGCATTAAGAAGAAAATAAATTCCACAAATAAACTTTTGAGAAGGCACACCTGTTAATTGAAATGCATTCCAGGTGACTACCTCAGGATGCTGGTTGAGAGAATGCCAAGAGTGTACAAAGCTGTCATCAAGGCAAAGGGTGGCTACTTTGAAGAATCTCAAATATAAAACATATTTTGATTTGTTTAACACTTTTTTGGTTACTGCATGATTCCATATGTGTTATTTCATAGTTTTGATGTCTTCACTATTATTCTACAATGTTAAAAATAAAATAAATAACCTTGAATGAGTAGGTGTTCTAAAACTTTGGACTGGTACTGCATATCTACAGAAATAAGACCGATCCGGCTTGTGTTGCCTGTTTGTTTTAATAGCCTACTGATTCTGTAAGCACCAAGCCTCACACAACCACATGTACACAAATGTGGCTGTTCGTAATCTTTGCTTTGCTGTAATAAAGGCTTTACACTTTTTTATTTTTTTCGTTAGAGCAGCCTCTGTTATTACCAGATTAATTATAATTAGATTACATTTAATTTATTTAGTGTTTACACTGTTCCAAATTGTCAGAAAAATAGTGTTTCTAATAATAATAACCGTCTTTTTTCTAGATCTACCTGTTGTTGTTATGATGATGATCATAATAAGTGAAGTCATTATCATTAGTAGTCTTAGTATAGCAGCCTTGTATAACTGCCATTGAGCTGTAGGCCTAAAGAGTGTATCCTGTTTAGTCTTAATACCGTAACTTACTTAGGCATGTTTCAATACTTATATAGGCTACTGTATCATTCATTCGTTCATGTCATCGCACAGCATATGAGGCATTCATGATTTGAAATGCAATCAAGTGTTTAGGTTTTAAAATAAAATAACAAAGAGACCCTTGAATAATTGGCGTAAACAAAAACTAAACCGTTTCCATGTTGGCGGTTGAATTCACGAATGAATGTGACTTTTTTCAGTCTTTGGTGTAATAAAGGCTTTGCAATTATAATTTTTTTTGATGTTACAACATTCTCTGGTACGCTTTTAATTTATTTAGTGTTTACATTGTTCAAAACGTTCAGAAAAAGTATATTGTAATCTAACAGCACCTGTCCTTAACACCTTTTTCTTGATCTCCTGTATGTTCCACAACTAGTCACATTTATTCCACCCATCTGACTTCCCCTTTACCTCCTGAGCAACCAGTAAACATTCCCCCCTTTTCCAGTTTATTTGTCACGTCATCTCCATCCATTTTGCTGTCATCTGTTACGGTGTTCAGAGTTTGTTAACCAATTTATTAATGTGGTTATGATATGCTATAGGTCAGGCCCTATTGGTCACGTGCATGCGACGCATACATGTGTCACGTAAAAAGTGCGAGGGTTGAGGGACTAGGGAATGCCCTAGTGGCGGCTGACTGCATTCGCTGCCAGCGTCAACGCATTTACTGTCGTGCTCTCATTGAGAACAATGACATCCGGTTTACCGTCTACCTCGTACCATCTAAACGCAGCATAAGCGTGATAAACACTCATGCAAACGGTTGGGAATTGTTTAACTGCAATTGGTGTGTGTGTGTGTGTGTGTGTACACATCTTAACGAATAACATTGCAAACCGTTTTCAGAGGGGAAATCCTTACCTTGAGAGACATTGAAAAGCTGCACAAGAAACCCAAGGCAGACAAGGAATCAAGACTGGCCACTGCACAGGTGACAATCTCAATCAAGAATGTGCTCAATTCTAATTCTCGTATTCTCAGGATTTCATCCGATCATGTGGTTTGTTTTGATGGTAGGCTGGCCGCTCAGATAGGAAGGAGTTTGTGAAGAAGAGGAAAGAGAAGCTGAATCCATTCGCCTCCACCAGCAACAAGGACAAGAAGAGGAACAAAGACTTCAGGATGATGAGACACAGTCTAAATGTACGGACCAAGAACAAGAGATCCTTCAGAGATAAACAGGTAAATTCCGTTTCTTTTTTTGTGTGCAGCATAATTTTTTTTTCTTTTTTTTCAGTATTATTTATCTCTTCTCTTCTCTCTCTCTCTCCATACAGATTGCTCTAAGAGATGCACTCATTAAGAGAAAGAAGCAATACAAATAGCGATATCGCTGCATGCCGTGGACTCTTGGTTCCAAAGGAAATGATGGCTTCCATGAACTTGGGCTATTAAATGAAGATGGGGAATGGTTCGTTTTAACTGCAATATACCATTCCCCATCTCCATTTAACAGGAAGATGTGGTCTATAACATATTTGTATAGGTAGTAGGCTATAATCACACTGCCTTCTATTAAAAGATTTACTGTCAGTCCTTTACCCCTTTCTCCTATTTGTATTTTTTTTTTCAGTCTACTTCAAATTTCGATACACCTTTTTGTGATGTGAAGATAATGTTCCTGGCAACAAAGTGTACATGTAACTCCTCTAGATTGACGTAATAGACAATAAATAAATGCAGACTGAATTTAAATGTCAAGATTTCCAGGACGAACACACACATATACAGTGGGGGAAAAAAGTATTTAGTCAGCCACCAATTGTGCAAGTTCTCCCACTTAAAAAGATGAGAGAGGCCTGTAATTTTCATCATAGGTACACGTCGACTATGACAGACAAAATGAGAAAAGAAAATCCAGAAAATCACATTTGTAGGATTTTTAATGAATTTATTTGCAAATTATGGTGGAAAATAAGTATTTGGTCAATAACAAAAGTTTCTCAATACTTTGTTATATACCCTTTGTTGGCAATGACACAGGTCAAACGTTTTCTGTAAGTCTTCACAAGGTTTTCACACACTGTTGCTGGTATTTTGGCCCATTCCTCCATGCAGATCTCCTCTAGAGCAGTGATGTTTTGGGGCTGTCGCTGGGCAACACAGACTTTCAACTCCCTCCAAAGATGTTCTATTGGGTTCAGGTCTGGAGACTGGCTAGGCCACTCCAGGACCTTGAGATGCTTCTTACGGAGCCACTCCTTAGTTGCCCTGGCTGTGTGTTTCGGGTCGTTGTCATGCTGGAAGACCCAGCCACGACCCATCTTCAATGCTCTTTGCTCTTACTGAGGGAAGGAGGTTGTTGGCCAAGATCTCGCGATACATGGCCCCATCCATCCTCCCCTCAATACGGTGCAGTCGTCCTGTCCCCTTTGCAGAAAAGCATCCCCAAAGAATGATGTTTCCACCTCCATGCTTCACGGTTGGGATGGTGTTCTTGGGGTTGTACTCATCCTTCTTCCTCCAAACACGGCGAGTGGAGTTTAGACCAAAAAGCTCTATTTTTGTCTCATCAGACCACATGACCTTCTCCAATTCCTCCTCTGGATCATCCAGATGGTTATTGGCAAACTTCAGACGGGCCTGGACATGCGCTGGCTTGAGCAGGGGGACCTTGCGTGCGATGCAGGATTTTAATCCATGACGGCGTAGTGTGTTACTAATGGTTTTCTTTGAGACTGTGGTCCCAGCTCTCTTCAGGTCATTGACCAGGTCCTGCCGTGTAGTTCTGGGCTGATCCCTCACCTTCCTCATGATCATTGATGCCCCACGAGGTGAGATCTTGCATGGAGCCCCAGACCGAGGGTGATTGACCGTCATCTTGAACTTCTTCCATTTTCTAATAATTGCGCCAACAGTTGTTGCCTTCTCACCAAGCTGCTTGCCTATTGTCCTGTAGCCCATCCCAGCCTTGTGCAGGTCTACAATTTTATCCCTGATGTCCTTACACAGCTATCTGGTCTTGGCCATTGTGGAGAGGTTGGAGTCTGTTTGATTGAGTGTGTGGACAGGTGTCTTTTATACAGGTAACGAGTTCAAACAGGTGCAGTTAATACAGGTAATGAGGGGAGAACAGGAGGGCTTCTTAAAGAAAAACTAACAGGTCTGTGAGAGCCGGAATTCTTTCTGGTTGGTAGGTGATCAAATACTTATGTCATACAATAAAATGCAAATTAATTACTTAAAAATCATACAATGTGATTTTCTGGATTTTTGTTTTAGATTCCGTCTCTCACAGTTGAAGTGTGCCTATGATAAAAATTACAGACCTCTACATGCTTTGTAAGTAGGAAAACCTGCAAAATCGGCAGTGTATCAAATACTTGTTCTCCCCACTGTATATCTCCATTGATTCTTGAAAAATAGATTTTATAAATTCATTGTGAGCTTAATTCAACTGCTGTCCCCCATCAGAACCCAAAATATACACTTGTTTTACTTCATTGTTTGTAAACAATTGAATTGTAAACAAACTGTATAGCCCCAAAACATGATTAAAACTATAATTTTGATATCATGGAATGTCAGTCTTTGCATCCATAGATCTCTATGAATATGAGAATGGTTACATTTCTTTATCCCAAACCCTCAGATTTTTTCCAAAACAGTGGCGGGGTGTCTACTTTGTTGTTGTTTGAACTTGCGATTGCCCCTTTAAGCTTACGATCGTTTTAACGATGCATCATTACTATAACGGCCGAAGATGTTACATGCGTTTTCCAGAACGCCGTGTAGAAAGAACGTTCAGTAAGTGTGTTGTTGGAGCATGTGTTGATACTAATAGGATCGAAAGAAAGGCAGCACTGCTCTCAGATCAGCGTTCTCCATTCAAATCTTACCTTAACATTAGAATTGTTCCACAATACTGACAACGGATCAGCTCCTAGAGAGATATTATCATCTACAGTGCCATGAAAAAGTATTTGCCCCTTTTATGATTTTCTCTATTTTTGTGTATTTTTGATACAGAATTTTATCAGATCTTCAACCAGAACCTAATATTAGATAAAGGGAACCTGAGTTTACAAATAACTAAGAAAACTGATACTTATTTTATTTAATTAATTCATTAACAAAGTTGTGCAACACCCAATTTCCCTGTGTGAAAAAGTAATTGCCCCCTTACTGGTTGAGCCACCTTTTAAGCTTCAATGACTACAACCAAATGCTTCCTGTAGTTGTTGATCAGTCTCTCACATCGCTGTGGATGAATTTTGGCCCACTCTTGCATGCAGAACTGCTGTAACTCAGTGACATTTGTGGGTTTTCAAGCATGAACTGCTCGTTTCAAGTCCTGCCACAACATCTCAATTGGGATTAGGTCTGGACTTTGACAAGGCCATTCCAAAACTTCACATTTGTTGCTTTTTAACCGTTTTAATTTAGACTTGTGTGTTTTGGATCATTGTCTTGCTGCATGACCCAGCTGCGCTTCAGCTCACAGACGGATGGCCTGACATTCTCCTGTAGAAGTTCTCTGATACAGAGCAGAATTCATGGTTCCTTCTATTAAGGTAAGTCGTCCAGGTCCTGAGGCATTAAAGCATCCCCAAAACTACCACCACCAGGCTTGACCATTAGTTTGAGGATCTTACTGTGGAATGCGGTGTTTGGTTTTGGCCAGACATAATGGGAGCCATCTTGTCCAAAAATTTGAATGTTTGCCAAAAAGCACCTGGATGATCATCAAGACTCTTGGAAGAATGTTCTATGGACACATGGGTCTTGCTGACCCTGGTAGTCTTGTCTCTTGGCTGCACCTTGGAGGCCCTGGGGTATCCTGGTAGGGCAGCTGTGCCAGTTTGGCTTCATGCCCCTCAGCCTGCTGGTTCTGGGCTTCTCCTGTACAGGCGGTGGCTATAATCATCATGGGCTGCTGTCTTGTCATCACATACTGGATGGACGGGAACATGGACCTCAGGCGGTTTGGTTTACTTTGGTTGCGTCCCAAATGGCACCCTATTCCCTACATAGTGCACTACTTTTGACTAGGGCCCATAGGGCTTTGGTCAAAAAGTAGTAAACTATTTGAGAGAGAGATTTTCTTTTGTGGATTCTCAAATCAACAGTAAACAAAACCTTGGTTCTAAAGGTAAACGTGATGTCATTCTGATGAGAGAAGATTCCACGGCAGCTACATGGACATATAGGAATGGGAAGGGACTTGATCCCAATGAATAATGCTTACTGACTTTAGTATAATATATAACCAATTGTGCTATTGTGTGTGTTTTTTCACATAATTTTTGTAACTTATTTTGTACATAATGTTTCTGCCACTGTCTCTTATGACCGAAAATAGCTTCTGGATATCAGGACAGCGATTACTCGCCTCGTACTGGACAAAGATTTTTTCTTTAACGAGTCGGATGCGAAGGATTTACTTCAGACACCCGACAAGGCCCAAATCCCCGTCATTCGCATAAAGAAGAGACAGAGATATTGGGGACGTAGGTCGGGGTGCCTTGTAAGGATCCGACGGCGAGTGGGTAATCTGCCTCTGCAGTGAGGGAAAAAAGTATTTGATCCCCTGCTGATTTTGTACGTTTGTCCACTGCCAAAGACATGATCAGTCTATAATTTTAATGGTAGGTTTATTTGAACAGTGAGAGACAGAATAACAACAAAAAAATCCAGAAAAACGCATGTCAAAAATGTTATAAATTGATTTACATTTGAATGAGGGAAATAAGTATTTGACCCCTCTGCAAAACATGACTTAGTACTTGGTGGCAAAACCCTTGTTGGCAATCACAGAGGTCAGACGTTTCTTGTAGTTGGCCACCAGGTTTGCACACATCTCAGGAGGGATTTAGTCCCACTCCTCTTTGCAGATCTTCTCAGAGTCATTAAGGTTTCGAGCCGGGTCATTGTCATGCTGGAATACCCATCCACGACCCACTTTCAATGCCCTGGCTGAGGGAAGGAGGTTCTCACCCAAGATTTGATGGTACATGGCCCCGTCCATCGTCCCTTTGATGCGGTGAAGTTGTCCTGTCCCCTTAGCAGAAAAACACTAACCCAATCTCAAATATGATTATTCTCCTCGTCCTTTGTTCCAACATGGTATATATCCTATGTAACATAAGATGGATGGTTTTAGATAGACCAATCCCTGGCCTCCACATATCCAAGTGTCCTCTATTTCAGGGGGCCCCCTATAGTAATGCTTTCCAGATGTTTTAGCAAAGTAGAGTTCATTTAACCCAACCATATGAAAACCTCAGCCAAAGCTATAAACTGTTCAGATACTACAGCAGCATTCCTCCTCCTCCAAACACGGCGAGTTGAGTTGACGGGGCGGCAGGTAGCTTAGTGGTTAAGAGCGTTGTGCCAGTAACCGAAAGGTCGCTGGTTCTAATCCCCAAGCCGACTAGGTGAAAAATCTGTCGATGTGCCCTTGAGCAAGGCACTGAACCCTAATTGCTCCTGTAAGTCGCTCTGGATAAGACCGTCTGCTAAATGACTAAAATGTAAATGTAAAATGTAATGCCAAAGAGCTCGATTTTGGTCTCATCTGACCACAACACTTTCACCCAGTTCTCCTCTGAATCATTCAGATGTTCATCGGTAAACTTCAGACGGGCCTGTATATGTGCTTTCTTGAGCAGGGGGGATCTTGTGGGCGCTGCAGGATTTCAGTCCTTCACGGCGTAGTGTGTTACCAATTGTTTTCTTGGTGACTATGGTCTCAGCTGCCGTGAGATCATTGACAAGATCCTCCCGTGTAGTTCTGGGATGATTCC